ATTGGAAAATAAATTTTAAAAACATGATATTTGTTTTTTAAAAGTCAGAAATGCTACCTCTCAGGGTGATGACATACAGAATCTCCTAGGGAGTTTTCATACAGAACAGAGCCAGAGGGAACCTCTCTCTTCCCCTCACTTGAAGATTACTGATGGAGGGAGGCCCCATTCCTGACTCACCAGGGTGTCAGACCCCTCAGATGTCTAGTGCTGGGAGGAGGGCTCCCATGGGACCCACTTGGTGTAGCTGGCATATGGATTTTACCATGACTGTGTCTGGTAGTGCATTCAGGGGACGGGCCTTGTCTTCTCTTTTTCTTAGCCACCTCCTCATTGTACGCACTTGAATCTGCTGATTTACCTGAGGCCACTTCCAAGAAGAGAAGTTGAATACTTCCCTGCATTGAAATCACACACAAGGGCATGTTTTATGTGCTTCTGAAGGGGATCCAACAGAGAATAAATTGCAAGCAGGAATTTAGGGTCATCAGAAATTCCCAATTCTGAATGAAATACCAGAAATGCCCAATACAGCCTAAGAGAAGCAGAAGAATGGCAGAGCAAGCTGGAGTGGCAACAAAGACCAAGGTTCAGCTGTGAATGTGTGATGGGAGCTGCTGTCTAAACCCATCATGACTTTGCCAGTCTAGGGGTTAAAGGACAGTGAGTGAACTTTGAATGCAGCTCCAATAAACTTCCAGGGCCCTAGTAATGCTGCTGTGAGGCCCCTTTAACAGAACAGCTCAACAAAGAGTAGCTATTTCCCTACTGGCAAAGTAAAAATTGGCACAGACCACTCAGAAGAGCAGATCTCAGGTAGCAGGTGGGGGCTGGTGGCAGTGGCACTAGAGCATGTGGCATGTTGACCATCTCTTGGATGTGCTGAGATCAGAATGGCTTCAAGAATGGCAGCCCAGAAAAAAAGGGAAACAGTACCACACCCCATGAGCAGGGCTAGTCTTCAATATCACATGAAACTTCTTGTGGGGTCTCCAGAGAGGAAAGAATGACTGAGGCCTACAAATTCACACATGGGGGCTCTTGATTGGGAGACTCTGGGGCCTAGATATGACTAACACATGCATTCCCATGGGCAGAGAGGAGGAGACTACTACTTCTGTAAGGACTTACTTTCATTTATCTTTAGAACTCTTCATTTGTGCCAAGTAACTTAGATCTAAACATAAACTTTTTGTTTGTTTGTTTGTTTTTGCTTAAATTACCTGGATAGTTTCTTCAGTTATCGATCCAGAGACTAAAGAAAAGTATTTTCTTTACATCTCATAATTTCTATAGATTTGTAACCTGTGTTAACAAGTACAATTTCCCAACAAGTAACTGTTTAAACTAGATGAGATAAATAACAAAGGTGCACAAGTACTGGAAGAATTTTTTCTCCTTTATGAAATTATACATCATGGCAATTCATCAACTGGGAAAGGTTTTTCATTTCAGTCTATGCTTTTTAAGTTGTCTTAAATTTGATTTGTATAGTTGCTTTATTGTGCTTTATACAAACACATCCCAGATCATAGTTCATTGCTCTGGAATATATTTTACTGTATAAACTGGACTGGCTATGAGCCATCCTGCCTATGTTTATATAAAACCAAACCACATTATCATAGCTTGTTTGCACAGCTATGAAAAAATATCTAGGGCCTACTAGTTTCCCACATCAGCCTGTGAAACCAGTGTAATTTTGTCTTAAGAAATTTCATCTTATGGTCTACTTCATTCAAAGCAAATAAACAATTCTCTTTGGGAGATCTGCATTGCAGTATCCTGAGCTAGAAACACCCCATCTGCTGCACTCCATCTGATCCTTGGTTGAGAAGCAAGCAATGGTGATCATAGTTGCAAAGTGCTGAACAAGACACCAGACTCTGAGATTCCCCTCCCCAAACCCTGTTTTCCTCATCACTCATGATTGGTCCAGGGTGGGCATCCAACCTGAGTTGGTATAATCAAGGACTTATGCTGGAAATCTGGGCCTAGGTCAAAGAGAGTTGAGTTGGTCTCTCTAGATACTTGAACTCTAGGAATTAAAACATGGGAAGTGTAGACAGTGAGAGAGAAGAAAAGAGTTGATGTTCACAGAGAGGAGCCAAGGATGAGGGAGGGTGAAGTCACTCAGGCCCTTCATGTTCCAGATGCCTGACTACATTTCTGACCCTGGATTCCATGAGACACCACCAGGACTTTATAATGAATTCCCCAATGTCTTAGCTAGTTAAAGGTTTCTTGAACCAAAATATTTCTCATTTGCACAAGGAGATATTAGAAGCCAACATTAAATAATAATAGGAATAATAGCCATCCTTTAAAGACTGCAGTTTTCCAAAGAGGAAACAGAAAATAGGCGCTTAAGTCGTTGCACAAGGTACACACAGAGCCTGGTCCCTAGACAAGTGGATTAAACTCTACTGTTCAGCTTCTCAAAATGGACACAAAGGAAAAGGTCTGGTCTGGCATCAGGCAAATGTGGGTTGGCGTCCTCACTATACTACTTGCCCGGGGCTAATTATTGGTCCTTGATTTCTAATGAAATTTCTTTGTGAAATGAAGATAACCATAACTATAAAATAGAGTTGTTGTAAGGATCAATGAGATAATGTAAATAACATGAGTTGGCCCAATAGGCATTCAGTAAAAGATATTTCAAATCTGTTTCCAATTTTTCACTTATAATTAATTGCAATGACTAGAACTGATGGAATATTATGAAGGGTGGTGAAAACCAGCATCTTTCTGTATTTTTACTGTTAAATGTGATGATGAGATAAACATTCTTTATTATGTTAAGGAAACATTCTTCTATTCCTGGCTTACTACAATAATTTGTTTCTTTAGAGATTGATGGTGGATATTATTAAGTAACTTTTCAGCTTCTAACCAAAAAAAAAGGTACTATAATATTTGTATTTTGAACTTATAATTACTTTTAATCATAGGATGCCTAATATTAAACTGCCCTTAGTTTCCTAACGTTAAACATCCTTAATCATCTTGCATTGTTTAGAGAATGGATTCATAGATTATATTGTGGGGTTTCTTAATCTTAATGATTTTTTTAAATGTATGAGTAAAATGTCTTTAGTTTTCTTTCTTTTACTATTTTCTAGATTCCATTTTGTGTTTATGATAGCTCATAATTAAGAAGTTTTCTATCCTTTTCTAATTTCTGAAACTACTTAAAAAGCAGAGGAGTTTTCTGTTCAGTGAAGGCTTGCAAGAACATGTATTTAAATACATGCCACACACATATATAATCTCAACCTTAATTTTGAATATAGTCCTTTTTCCTAAAGTTTTCTAGTTTACTTCTTCTTGAATATATTTGAATAATTTATATTTTGCTAGAAAATTTACAATTAATTTAGGTATTCAGTTTTTAACATTGAGCTAAAAATAGTATTCTCATGTAATATTTTCATCTACTTCATATATGAGGATACTCACTGCCTGCCAATATTACCATTTTTCTGTACTAGGGCTTCCGTGACCACCTCTGAGTGAGGATAGTACTTGGCCAGCCACCTCTGTGTTGACATTTGCTCTCTTCTGCTCTGGGGTGGTCTCAGTCATTTCTACCTGGATGGTCACAACCCAGCATTATGTTAGAAGCATCAGTTGTAATTCCTTAGAGTCCAGTTAAAGTGGGTAAGCCTGTATTGTTGTTTTTATACACAGGATTGTGGATACCATGTTGGAGACCAGTCAGTTATTGGGGTGGTCAGGAAAGAGCACTGAGGGAACACCCTGGCCTTGAGGACTCTAAGACATTAGATTATCCTATGAGCCTCTTTGTTCACACTGCCCCATAGCCCCTGAGGTTCTATTAACCTCTAGTCCCTTCAGACTCACTAATATTTGCATGTTATTTCATGCAAAAAAAAATAGACTACTTCAAATGTAACAATTTAAAGTATTGTTTATAATTACACTTATTCTACAGAATCAGATAATCTATTCATTTTAACAATTTTTATAGCAGCATAGGAATAGGAAATTTTTTTAGTCTAAAAACCCTCATGAAATGTAGTGGAGATGGGTTAGTTGAGAATTAAAACTGGGAGGATCTGATAAAAGTAACAATTATGTCTATGCTTATTTGAAAATCTAGTTAGAAGGAAAAAAAACAGGGAGACCTCTATTATGGAGGTAGATGCCAGAGATGGGCAAGGCTGACATGGTGGAGAAAACAGTGGGCTAGACCAGGCAGACAAGAAGCTGGTTAGGAACAGGGCAATGCTGGCATCAAGCTCCAGGGAGCCTCTGCATTCAGCTAAGAAGGTTATCAGCAAAAATTCCAGGAAGCTATTTGCTTCAACAAGGATTTAAGTCAGTAAAGGCCCTTACATCTGGATGTGGCCAGGTCTATAAGACAAATCCTTTTTAGCAGAGACCTGTTTTTGTATTTGGCTGGCCTGGCAATATTAATAGCAATGCAGGCTCAGCTTACTGCTTACCACAATGTGATCCTATGTAATTCTTCCCACTGACTGTGAGCCCAACTGCCATGTGTTTCATATTCAAACCTTTTACTTCCCAGCATAGCATCAGGTACACATTAACCCTCTAGAATGTTTGAGTAAGTAAGGACACACAGTCCAGAAAACTTTTTATGTCCTTGGGTTCAAGTGCTCCTCACGTTCAATGTGGGCTCTTTATCTAGGGTTCCAAAATTCCCTTTCACCAGTGCTTTTCTTCTTTTGGCTCCTTATACTCTCAGGTCTGAGAAGAGGATCCTGACAAGATGACTTTATTCTGGTATTTGGGGGAGAGAAGGGTTCCTTAACTACATACCAAGAACACAGGCACTGTTTTTGGTAAAGAATAAGGAGGTGAATGGGTGCCTCCCTTGTGTCATCAATTGGCAAATACCTTAGGTGACTTAAGATGAGTACTATAAAGAAACATATCAAATAAAAATATAAATTAACATATTTAATAATGTAAATTTCTACCTGCCCTTCTCTGCCTTGTCTGTGTTCCAGGTTCAGGTTTAGTGGTCGTATCCTAGGCCTAGCTCTGATACATCAGTACCTTCTTGATGCCTTCTTCACAAGGCCCTTCTATAAGGCACTCCTGAGACTGTAAGTATACTGCAAGCCATGATCCATCTGGCCCCACCTGCAGGTTAACAGGTGTTGGGTCTCCCTAGTTACCTCTGGCTCTTTTGTCCCTGTTTTGACTAACCATTTCTATTAGGTTTATGGTGGTTTACTTTTCTGAGTGCTTAGATATTAAATAAAGCTTTTAGTACAAAAAAAAGGCATTTGGAGATTTTATGTAAGCATAGGGGAAGATTATTATAACATCATATAATGGATATGAATTAGTTTACATAAACAATTATAGTAACATTACAAACATTTCATTAAACTATTAAGTAGAATTGATCTGTCTAAAACTTAGCTGTTTTAAAATGATACTTTTCTCCAACTGCAATGGAGAGTTCATGAGTCAATAATTATTTCATGTTTCTTATTGCAGATATTTTAATATTTTCTTTTAAAAAGAGTAAAAGATTGATCAATATATTCAAAAGTATCAAATTGTTAGAGTAAGTCTGTATTGTTTTAGCTAGTAGTGTAGTTATATAACAACATTTTGGAATGAGGTGTTGGCAGCCATTTCTTTAACCTTTCTCCCTTTAAATGGACCCAGGCCCTGTGATTTGAGTGACCTGGAATATTTGGATGAAGAATTCCACCAGAGCTTGCAATGGATGAAGGACAACAACATCACAGATATTCTAGACCTCACTTTCACCGTTAATGAAGAGGTTTTTGGACAGGTTTGTGAGACATAAGCCTTGCAAAAAAGCATTTTGTTTTTTATTATGGAAAAATAACATAACATAAAATTTACCATTTTAACATCTTTTAAGTGTATAGTTTAGTATTAAGTGTATTGATATTGTTGTGCAACCAACCTCCAGAATTTTTTCATCTTGCAAACTGAAATTATACCCATTAAATAATAACTCCCCATTTTTCCCTCTTCCTAAACCCTTTCAACCACCATTCTACTTTTTCTTTCTATGAATTTGGCTATACTATGTACCTCATATAAGTGGAATCATACAGTATTTCTGTTTATGTGACTAGTTCATTTAATTTGGCATAATGTCCTCAAGGTTCATCCATGTTATAATGTGTGACAGTACTTTCTTCTTTTTAGGGCTGGATAATATTCCACTGTATGTATATACCACATTTTGTTTATCCATTCATCTGTTGATGAACACTTGGGTTGCTTCTACCTTTTGGCTACTGTGACTAATGCTGCTATGTACATAGGTGTACAGATGTCTGTTTCAGTTCCTGCTTTCAATTCTTTTGGCTATATACCCAGAACTGAGATTGCTGGATCATATAGTAATGGAATTTTGTTTTTAAAATAGAAAACAAAAAATCTCATTTATTGAAACTATAATTTTTGAATACTATTTCCTTTAATAAGGCTGCCTATATCGCCTTCCTTCTTTTTTTTGTTACAACATGGATCTACTTTCCAGAGTTTTTTTTCAATTTCAGTGAACATTTAATATTATTTTATATGAGTTTCAGCTGTACAGTTAGTGGCTAGACATTTATATAATTTACAAAGTGATCCCCCAATTAGTTTAGTACCCACCTGGCACTATACATAATTATTTCAATCTTATTGACTATGTTCCCTATGCTGTACTTTACATCCCCATGATTATTTTGTAATTACCAATTTGTACCTCTTAATCTTTTCCCCTTTTTCACCCAACTTCCAACACTCCTTCCCTCAGGCAAGCATAGATTTGTTCTCTGTATCTATGAGTCTGTTTCTGTTTTGGTTTTTTGTTTATTTTATTTTTTATATTCCAAATATGAGTGAGATGATATAGTATTTGTCTTTTTTAGTCTGACTTATTTCAC